TAAGCATGGCAAAGCTCAAGTAAAACATGACCAAACCACTGACACTCAGTAAACATGTCATCAAGGTTTAGGCTTCAGGGTTTAGGGTTTTATCAGTAAACATGCGATTTAGGGTTTGGTCTTTATGGTGTGGGGCTTAAGGTTCAGGGTTTTGGGTGATCATGTCTGGATGGTTTTCGTGGCAATGTGGCATGTGTAATTACTGGTTCTTATGACTGCCCCTGCCACATGCTTACTGGACTCAGGGGTTTAGGGGCTTTGGGTTTAGGGATTTAGTGGTTTAGGTGCTTAGGGATTAGGGGCTTATAGGGGTTAGGGATATTCAAATAGAAATTTCATTTACTTAAAATAGGAATTGTGAGGTTTGGGATTTAGGGCTTAAGGTTAATAGGGTTTAGAGTTCAAGTTTTAGGGTCGGTTTTCCAGCCTTGAGGTCAGATGATTTAGTGGGGGGGGGTTAGGGTTCAAGGACCCAAGGTTGTACTTTCAAGGTTGATACCTCATGTCTTCAGTTTACAAACCCTTAAACATTCTCAGACCTGTCATTACCCTAGCAGTCTTTTCTGTGGATGTGTTTTTATACAAAGCTTCCAAATGTGCATTTTCATGTTGAAGAATTTTGTCACTTTCATCATCCCCTTTTACTAATTTTGCAGACTATTTGACAGACAAATCGTATTTTACCTTCAGAATTAACTTTTGATTTAACCCACAAAATAACCTTGAACATTTGCCCACAGTTTTGACTAATAGTGAGGATTTTGACTTACTTTTCAGAATTGTCTATTAGTCAGGAAATTGTCTTGTCCGATCTATTGGGCTCGATCCCGAAGTACTCTACATCGGAGTGCAGATGGGTGCAAACTTTAGGCGCGAGTGTCGCAAGTTCTACAAGAAGAGATTCGTTGATGTGGTCAATGGGCAACTCCGGAACAAAGCGCATTGGAACAATGTAAAGGAATGGCTTGGGAAGTTGCACACATCCATGTTCCGCTCTGGCATTGGACAGATCACCGATGATGCCCAGAACTATGGAACGCAATATGATCCGAATTTTGATTTCAACGCGATGGATGATGAATGTCTTCATCACGAAGTACCCTTCTTTTCCAATCGCCATTTTGGCCCGCTATGGAAATGTCACGGTGTCCTAGGTTCGCCCTGATACCATCTGAGCGGGGAAAACGATCGTTTCACAGTGCTCGGTCTAGGTTCGCCCCTCTGTCTAATGTTGACGTGCAAAAGTGGTGCTTCTGTTTCCGACCCACTCAACAAGTTGTAATTTGCCGTGGGGGGTGTTAAATATTACGCGTGTGCCCGCACATTATGACGAGCAACTCAGGTAGCGTTTCATGGTTTGTACAAAGTGGTCGATACATGTGTTTGGCTCAAGCGCCCCTTAAGCTGTAGAAGCATTGGGTAACTCATATAGCGTTGCCATCCACATTGACCATATTACAGACCTCGCGGAGCTTTGAGATCGAAGAGTCAAAACAACGGAGTACTGGTGTGCAAGTTCATTACAAAACGAGCCAGTCGCCCTTTTAGACATATTTGCATACATACATACCTACACATCGAATCCTCAGGTGCTAAACTGGAAGATGTTGAGCTTTGCAGCATGCTCGCGTGTTTCTCCCCATGCTTTCCCGGTCGGCTACGCACGTTGAATTGCTTATTGTTCCCCAACCCTTTGCACATTGATCTTTATTATCCACCATTTCTTCCGTCCGCATATACACATATGAGTCCATGCAGAGCCCAGTTTCCACCCCGCTCACGACAGGTCGTTTGCAGCGTCAATCATTGTTCTTTCTAATGACCGGAAGCACGATTTACGGAGTGCGAGTCTAGAGCCGGAAAATCAATGAGAAGGGGCCGGGCAAAACCGGCAAACGCCATTGCACAGCAGGATGGGCGAACACAAGATCAATGCAGGGGTGAAGAATAAAAAACGCAAGGTCGGCAACCTGTCGGCAACAGAGGCGCACGTCTGCGTTAATGTCTGAGATCATGCGCCTGCTCGCGCGCAGATTCGAGGGTAGCCAGTGCCTTTAGTTTCGTTTTGTAGCGCCGCGGGAAGCAATGCGCGGGACTAATTTCCCTTATCTGGGACATGGTGCCGTGGCTTTGTGGCGAATGCGCAAATCTCGCAACCTCGAGATACACACCTTTTCGCGATGAATTACACTGAGCTCAAATGATGAGGTACGAGCGTCGAGGTGGCTATTCACAATCCAGCGAACCACTGCCGACATGACATTGGAGGTGAAGTTTCACCCGCTTCACTTCGCTCAAACATGGCCCTTTGCTAATCTATGCAAAGCAGCGAAAATCCTATTCTGCGATACAAGAGGGCAAGGGGGGGTTCAGGCATCTTGTGCTGCCGCGAACTAGCACTGCAAGGTAACTATGCAACGTGACTGCATTGAATTGCTGCGTCCCGACGTGCGAGCCACTGTTTTGCCTTGGCAGCAGGCTCAGAAGCAGGAGGCCGCACAGAGTTTGGAGCAGTACAAGAAGGAGGCCTNNGAAGGGCCTCTCCGAGTCCGCCAATGCGCTAGTGAGCACCAAGCAGGGGCTGGACAAGGACCTTGCAGCTGCCAAGAGCGAGCACGCCAAAGCGTTGGAGGCAGGCTTATGCAAAAGGGAAAGCAAGTGAGTTCATAGGCGCATGGGAGGGGTCGGCCCAGGCTCAGAAGCAGGAGGCCATGCATAGCTTGGAGCAGTACAAGAAGGAGGCCTCTACAGTGATGGCCAGCACCAGCGAGGCAGACTTGTCGTAGTTGATGCAGATCCGCGCAAGCCAGTGGCATTGTTTTCTTTGCTGATTGCTGCAAGGCGCTGACTGCGCACCGGACTTCCACCGAGAAGCAATTGGAGGCACATGCCAAGGCTTTGTCGGAGCACCGTGACGAGGCCTTGAAGCAACTGGAGGCTTCAAAGGAGATCTGCCAAAAAAACACGGCACAGGCCCAAGAGGTGTTGCAGCAAAATCTGCTGAGCACCAGGGAGGGCCTCGAGAAGGCCTTGGGGGAACACAAAGAGCACACTGCCCAAGCAACAGAGCTGCAGAAGAAGGAGCACTCAGCATTGAGTGCCCAGCTCGAGGAGCACCGGAAAACACA